TGAGCCGCCTTAACTACAGTACGATCTCACGAACTTGACATTAAAGAGGTGTCGGGCCTCGTAGACTGTAATAAAAATAAAATAATAATAGGTAATTGTATACCAATTAGATGGACTGATATATAAATAATGGTACTTGTCATACTTTATAATAATAAAGTGTCGTTAAGGTGTTTGTTATACTTCATGTTTAAACTATACCAGGACTTAATAAATTGAGAAGTTTTCTGTCCACATTTATTGATATCAATTGATTCATTAGTTCACAATGAAGGACTATTATAAATCAAGATCTAATTCACCAGTACAATGTTTGGTCTAACAGTGATTTCCCTCAATTATCATTCGATTATAACATTGTATCTGAAGTCAAGGGGTAACTATTACAATACATCAAAGCACAAGTGTTGTAGTTACAGCGAGTTGCCTAAACTTCGCACCCGGCTCCATGAGGGCAGCTGTTTACATTTGGTTCTGTTGATTTATTGTACTTATAATAATATGATCACTCTTGGTCACATTAGACCTACAATAAGGTATATACACATATATATTTATTGAAGGCATTTTATTGAAAATATTTATTTAGCAGCAACTACGAAGTTGTTCTTTTAAACAGTCAGAGGAGATAAGTATGATTAGCAGTTAGGACACACGTATCTGACAGTCTATTCGAGGCTCGACAATTTGTCTCCGGGGACCGTTCGGATTGGGACTTTAGTTGCTCTAATTGATGTCATTTCAGTTATGATTTGATAATCGACCTGTCGATCGTTGTAAGTGCTATAGTGTTGTTGTTGAATAGGATTCAATAAATAAATTGCTAACTAAATTTTCATACAAACATAATGACATTAATTTCGACTCGTGTTAAATGTAAAATGAATATCATGTGATACATTAATATAAAAAAAAACTAGATGACCCGGCGGACTTCGTACCGCCCTATAATCTAGAAATATCTGTTACCTTTTTAACTCAATCAAGTTAATTTCTTTATTAAGTATAGCTGACCCGACAGACAATGTTCTGTCTTCTTAACTGTGATTATTGAAAACTAATTGGAATATTAATAATTCAAAATGATTCCAAAAAACAAGGTGTTTATTATGCGAAAGCTTTATTCTAACTACGCGAATATTAAAGCGAGTGACACATTGTTTTCTCCTACATGTGTTTCTCCTACTAATAGAAAATACAACAAAAAAAGAATTAGTGAAATCGGTCCAGCCATTCACCGGTGATGCCGTGACCAAGGGAATATTATATAGATTAAAGTTTTATTCAAGTATCAAGACTTATACGTTACACGACTTTAACGTTAAAGAATAATATTTCTGACATTTACTTTTTGTATCTCTACTTAAAAATCCTGTTGTTTTAACATATATTGTTTTGTAGTCTTACTGTTTAATAGTGTTTAATGCTAGTTAGACACAAAGCAAGTACATATATATTGCCTGCAAATATATATCTCTATATATTAATATACTATATGAATGAGATATATCCATAATCATAACGATATACATACTGCTGTGTCATTTTATACAGGAGTGAGTCACAGAACCTTTTACAAATCCACACTGACTGGTTGTAACATTGTATTTAAAACTTAATGTAATATTGAATAAACGAATGATTCTTGTGATATGTTGTAGTTCGTCGGCTGTCTGTAATCTATACAATATAACACTTATAACAATATTTATTTCTTTTGTATATTTGTTCTGCTACAAACTCAAAAACAATATAATTTTATTAGTATCATGTATAAAGTGAAGTGTCTCAGTGTACTACGTTTGTTTGTATCTTGAGTTTCATATATTTACTCTTCAATATCACTTTAACAACCCGTCAAGTGGGGATTTATAAAACGCTCGGTGACTCCGTCTTCCCCAAACTATGACTGTAAACAAGGACTCGGCATCGGTGAAGATAACTTGAGGCCAACATACACTTATAATGTTCCTTCGTTTTAATGTTTTAGTGTTATTACCTCCTGTCTGTTTTTTATTTCTTAAATTCAATGTCGATGGGCCATTTATAAGAGCCAGATAATTTAATAACAAAACATTAACATATCATCTGCGTTAAGATATTTTCCAGTGTCCAAATAATGTTCAAAGATTACTAAACTACATATTTGATGTATTATCATCCAAGATTATAGAATATTAAGTAAAGTAAACCCCCGACAGGTTAATGTCGACGTTGAGGAACACCTCAGGGCTTTTGTATAGAAATTGTTTGTAGTGAAAACTTGAATTTGTTGCATTCAAATTATACTTCAGTCATCGTCTGTTATGTTAATGTTGTTTATGAAGACAGAACTTATGAAAGAAGGATTCGAATTATTTACATCAACAACACTTTGTCCTCAAAATAAATGTTCAAAATAAAAGTATTCATGATATTCTTGATATTGTGAAATTTTAACAATAAATATTTGTTATCTGATGGATATGTATCAATGTTTTTGCCAATAAAAACTTGTTATACTGTAACTTTATTAGAATGAGAGACTTTTTATTCTTGCATACAAAAGTCTTACTGAATATTTCTCCCGCTGCATGTGCTATTATTAAATATTTGAATCAAAATACATCCGAGGAAATAGCACTTGGAGTGAGTTCCGACTCCTGACTTCTGAATTTATATTACCACTATAATACGATTTATTTCCAAATAAAAACTTATTCACTGACTTTTATTATCTGACTGCATTTTATTTTATCCGTACTTTATTCTAGTTTTGTTTATAAATTACTTAAATAATAATTGTATTAGACGCATTGAGGATAAAAAAAAGATTTTTCTTACTGTTAGCCTCTAAAATGTTTCTATTTAAATGTAATGTTTCATGAGATTCACTTAAATTTTAGTTTATTGATAAAATGTGATAGATTTATAGTTACAAGTCTTATAGAAGCAATTAATGAACGCAGCCTCAGTGGTGTAACACGAGTCCAGATACGAACATTTAGATGATGATAAGGAATTATTTTTGGACGCCATCTTCATGTAATGGACCCTGTTCAGATAACACCACTCATTAACCCTTTATTTTTTCGATTCAAAAATTTTTTACGACTTTATTATATATAATAAGCTATCATATAAATATTTCTACATAATCAAAATAAATAATTCGTCCAATGAACCTATTCCCATTATGTTAATTTGATTTCGGCAACGAATTTTAACTATTGTGACTTCATTTTAAAAATGCGCAACTTCTCAAAACGCGAAGTGAACAGTCGCTTGTTTGTAAAATAAACAAACTATATATATATATATATATATCAAATGGGCACCCAAACAGACGTACATTTTTTTCTTTAATCATAATGAATAATCCAAGTGGTGCTAGTTTTTTGTAGCGAGCGCTGGCCGTCACTTGGTTTTTAATGACTCTATTAAAGAGATTAATAGGTTATATCATTAGAAGCTTTTTTCTTACAAATTCAATTAATTCAGATACGCATCTTTGGTTTGGGTTATGTTTAATTTGTTTAAGAAACTTGATATTTTAATTAAATATATTATCATGTGACATAAGTTATTATATGACGTGTGGTCGTGGGAATTATTATTTTTTCTTTCACAATATTTAATATGAACGAGTCGTTGTAATACTTTAAGCATTATAAATATAATATTAAAGTGTTTTCTTAATAGTTAAGAGTTTTCAAACACTTCTTTTAATATTATCAAAAGTCCTGATATATAACATTTAATATTATTTCTATATTGGTCGTCATATCGCGTCTCATTGTTTACTCCGTCTGTAAAAACCTTTATTCTTTTCTTTTCGTATATGGAACATATTACACAGTATTGTCTAAGCAATCACTATCGCAGCATCCCTTTTTCCGTGCGATTTCTCTCGCAATTTTCTGCTTCTGTGTTCTATAATATTGTACCACGTTATATTTCTACAACGATGTAGAAAATGTTATACGGAGTATTGTGTTTTATAATACGTGCGTATTATTATAACGGTACACTAGTTATTAGCTTTTATAAAAAATTGTTCGATAAAATTTACTGTGACAGTATAATTGAATCAAATTTATTATTAAGTTATTTTGGGAGGACATATTTCCACATTCATATTTCATACCACATTTGTGGCGTTGGTAAAGAGTGATTTATTTTTATGAGTTTAAATACGCACAGTACGCACGTTACATTGTACTTAATAGTATTATATTTATAAATATATTATAATGATATCATGAAATAAATTTTATTTCATCTTCTTACAATAATACATAATTCCTTTATATTATTATTAAAAGACTACCGAGAAACGGAAAACAAAATACAGCGAAGATCATATCAGAATATTAAAATGTATATATTTATAAGAATAAAGGTGGAAATAGAAACAATTCATTTGTAAAATTAAAAAAACTCTTTAACAATAAAAAAATACTCATAACTATGATCTCAATAACATTCCTACCGAAACTATCCTTTAGTTTTTCCGGATCTGTCTGCGTAATTTAGCTGCTATAACTGCTTTAGCTTTAGATAACTTCTATTCTGAAACTGAACAACATGTCCCATTTTTATATAACACTCATATTGTGGAAACAAAAGATATTTTTAAAACAAACGTTTTAATCCGCATTCGTAATAAAAATATAAAGAATCCTAAATTTATAGCAGATAATCCTAAAGCTCAGTTAATACGACGGTTCGTTGTCACCGACTCCGGTCCCCTGTACAGTGTACACTGTAGACACTCGCTAGTGTCAGTGTCGTGCCGTCGGCCGTCGAGAGAGGACGCTCGTGCCGGCTGCCAGCTGAAACGGACACACGAAACACGATCGCTGTATGAAAACAAAAAATACTATCTTACTCCTGTGTCGCATACGGTAGGTGGTTGGATGCTCGATAACATTTAGGCTTATTCCGAACATTCCTTTAAAAGTTGCCGTGAATCATGACATAGAACCCGAACCCATGAACCAGTCGCCATGATATTTAAAATGGGGGGGAAGCCTCCGGGCAAGAGTCCTCCGGAGAAGGAAAAGGAAAAAGAGACTAAGAAAAAATGGGAGAAATGCGAGCGATGCCCCGCGGACCCTTGGACTTACTGTGTCGTGTTATGGTGTGCGTGTGCGATGAGCCTCATATCTAGTGGGTACAGTCTATACAAGCAGCAGGGTCTGCAGGGGAGGCTGTCCTTGTTGGAGGAGCAGCATCTAGCTTTACGTAGTGCGGTGCTCGAGCCGCAGCAGCCGCTAGTGGAACGTCTCAGGAGGGATCTTCACGCGAGACCGATCAGCTCCTGGAGAGTCAGGAGGAGTATTAGAGACTACGGCACCTGCGTCTGTCCACCAGGTCAGTCTATACGACAGAAAACTCTATTCATCGACACTAGAATATAGACGATATTAATACTTAGCAGAAAGAGATGAATAAACATAACATGACATTTTTAGTGAACAATTTATTTATGTTTTTAAATTTGCTTAAAAAAATATTATATAGGAATGTTATAATTTTTTTTTTTATTTATGACGATCGGAATATTTTGTTACTCTGTTTCGGAAGTCTTTACAAAAGTTATATAAAAATATTTTAATTTTATTTTTATCTAATTCTGTTTGATAATGAAATCTTAAGTTTCATTTTTTTAAATATTTACAGACTATCGAATAAAACGAATTGTATCGAAAAAATCCCATTGGTCGTTTAATTTTGTTGCTATACTGAGGGCTTATTTTTTTATTTCATTTTTGGTAATGGCTAATATTTGACTAGCTTCAATGTACATATGTTCAGTTCATCCGTGTCTGAACAAATTGTAGCTATTCTCAAACACACCGATATTTACCTCATTTCAATAGTTCAGTATATAACTATCAAAAACGATCAACTCTATCAATATTTGCTCAGCGGTGAAAGCGTCCATTACTAATGCTAAAAGCCTGGTTAGCTATCGAACTTGAAACGATACTGTAAATATATTTGTTCTTAGGAACACATACTCTCGAGATTCATGAGCTTAAATATGTTAAATTCTTCTTCATATTAACTTATGCTAATTTACTTAATATCTTTTATACATTATTAAACGAACTATAGATTTTTTTCTCTGTATCAATGCCGTTATTAAAAGTCCGTCTCATAATGTAGTATGATTGACTAATTATGGAAAAAAAATCACTTAAATATTCATGTTATTGTTTTGGTCCGCCTGTTCTGGTCTGAATGCCGTCGCTGGCCATACGTCATTATTTATGGTATTAATGATAGGATTGCTGTGAAACACAATGATATCAATAAATTATTCTATTCATACGCAACGAGTTGTCATTATTTTGATAAATGCGCTCCGTGATCCAATGACAATGACGCTTGCCAATTTCACAAACGACTATCCAGAATAATAATGTATATATTATATTATGCCTATAACTATACATAGTATGTATGATACTTTTTTACTTTAATTTAGATTTCAACATTTTAAGTAGTTCATATCATTATTGTATTCGAAAGACCCCGAAAAGCTATTAATTTTTTTTTCCTGCAATACCAAGTTAATCCGGGGTCGAAAAACGTCACCTAACCCCATAGTTATCAGAGACACCCGCAGGAGCCGATAGAAAAAATGATAAAACGATTCACGAACGAACGTGGGGGAGACACTTTTATACGAAGGTATGATAAGTCGTTAACAGCGGCCTTTTATTGAAGCTTACTTTAATACCGACTTTATTAGACACTTCCTTGCTTACTTTCAAAGGACTAAAATCCTAAACTAGCACTTCGAATGAATAATATTGTTCGGAATTGTTCGAAACATCGAATAAACCGGTTGCGACAAACATCGGTTTATGAAATTGAATAAACAAATAAAGTTGTTAAAAGTGTAATAATCTGATTGAGTTCACACAGAACGTTTAAAGTAAACACGCCGGGCCGCGACACGCGTCACACTCATAACAATAAACGAAGGTAATTTAGACTCTACAATACGATTGTGTACGGCCTTCGATACTGTTTACTTGTCGGTGCATTTTAATGATCCTCTCTTTATATATGAATATAATTCATTCGCTTATAACAAAATTCGTGGGAAACTGCTAACGTTAAAACGAGTTAGGGGCAGTTCGGACGTGACAGAAACGGCGCGTGTGTCTGATGCCTGGGGTGCAGGACGTATGTACATACGACTAGTTTTTATGTTACACGATACAACATTTTACTATAAATAATATAATATTTAAATACAAATACAATTAGATAGAGTTGTTTGTTTGTAAATAAAATAATCGACGATAAATAACGTTGAAATATAGTTTATGTGTTTTAAGATTACGTTTTTTATTCCCCTACAATTATATTGAAACTAAATTTGATATAATACAGTCGAATCATCTGGGAAACAAGCCCTTACATTCCGATCATACAAGGTAGAGTAGAGGTTATATTTCATACATAGCACATAATCAATCTAGATCACCTAGATTGTTGAGTGGAAAATAGATTTGAAAGCTGTCAACAAAAATGAATGTGGAATTAAATTCCAATGTTCAAATAAATTAGTTATCTAAATGACCCGGTGCTTGTGATCGTCGAAGTACTTTCGAGGGTAATATGTCAAAATAATCCCCTTCAAACTCTATTTGGAGCGTAAATTAGAAAAATGAATATAATGTAATCTGTTCACCCTTTATAGGATGATGAGTCTGTGGGGCCGTGGAGTGGACTCGCCGATATAGAGATTTGATTTGTTGAAACGATTATATTGAATTGAGATGAGTAGGTAATAGAATTAAAATGATTGTTGTAAGTCCATAGCTGTTTAATTTATTAATTGATGTCCCGAAGATTTATTTTCAAAGAAGATTTATTATAAAAAATAAAAGGATAATTATTATTTTTTTAATCTCGACGTACTGAAACTATATCAATTCATATCCAGGACAGGTATATGACACATAAAGTAACTTCCTTATTAATCTTCGTGTATGTTTTAGTAACGTCAGAGATCACTTGCTCGTATGTTACAATTACAATTAACAGCAACCGAACACAATACAAAACTAGGTGTTTTGTTATTATAATGTTGTTATATGTTCATATTAAACAAATTACAATAATTTGAAAGAATAAAATAAAATGGGGAAAAAAATAATGTGAAAACATTTTGAATTAAATATAAAGCAATCAACAAACTGAAAGGTATGGTGTGCGATATATTTGGAAATAATTTTCGTTGATTGTATTTAGTATGTTCGTCGTGCCGGTCTATCAAGTTCAATTATTATTCGAGACTGCTTCTAGTTTTGTGTACGTTATAACTGGCGAGCGGCCAGTGAGTCTCCTCTCCTCTACAGAAACACCGCTCTTTAACTAGTGAGAAGAAATGCATATAAATGTGTATTTATTGATATACTAGAAGACCTGGCGAACTTCGTATCGCCCTATAATCAAGAAATATCTATTACGTTTTTTTATTTATATTTTTGGAGTTTACCTTTAAGCCATAAATCTCCGTGTTTTGAAGTGCGACAGAATGATTGACATATTAGTTAGTTGTCAAATCTAATGTCAAAAAAAACGTTTGTATGGGAAATAGAACAGGGCTGTTTTGAACCTCCACGAACATTTCAAGACTAAGATAAGATAAATCCATTTTTATATATATAGAAGATTACTATAGAATGTTTTGATAATACAGGGTTAGCTTGTAAAAATTACAAATCATTAAAATTAAAATAAAAAACATTTTAAGGGATGGTATACTACTTCGTGAAGTAACTCGTAACGACACCATTTCTCTCACGTGTACGGCATCAGTACCTATTACACGCATGCGGCAAAAGTGTTTCGAGTAATATTCAATTTATTCATAAACATATAATCAATATAACGTAATTAAATTAAAGTAATAAACCACACTTTTTACAAGTTACACAATTTACATAGGAAATAGTTTAAGATATCTCTTTTGAGGAGCTTCCAGAGACGCGCAAATATTTAAAGGAAAAAGTCTTGTGAAAAAATATTTTAATACGTGATATATAAGACTCATGTTTTATAAACTATGTTTCTTCTGGAAGCGTTTTGTGATCGTAGAAAATGAAATGTTATTATCGTATCGTCTTAGATACTCGTAGGATGTCAAACGTTATAATATAAAGTGACACAATAAGTTTGTTTTGCTTCATATTGAACATTATTGGAGCCATTGAACAAAGCGTTGGAAAACGGGGAGAAATAAATTAAGCACAAAGGATTACTTGTCGGCGCTGTTTAGGGCTGGACCGGTGCCGCGCTGTAGGCTTCTGACGTCCTTCGTGTACTAATTATTGAAGCGTGCTCTTTTCATTTGGAAACATAGAGGGATTTGGGGCAAGGAATCTCTAACTACAAAGTCTTATCATTATTATATTTAATCACGGAATACCCACTACGCATATTGAACATGAAATAAATTAAATACATTTTATTTTAGCTGTGAATAAAAGGGTACAATGACCTCTGTAATATTTTGTACAAGAAAATATTTCTGCTTGATCCGTCGTGGTGTGCCATCCTTAAACCGCTGGTGACATCTCCGCGAGTTAACATCGTTATGAAAACACATCAGTGTGAGAAGATTAAACGTTTTGTTTGAATTATATTCGCGGGTTAAATACAAATTCTCATATAATTTTTAATATCCCATTAGGTCCACAGCGATCCGCTAAGCTCCGACGCTTTTGTTTAAAGTTAGCAAAGGAGAGATTACAGAGATCCAGTCATTAAGAACCCGGAGCCTGAGTTAATATATGTCCCTTTATATTAGTATGTAAAACAGATTATCTTCCGTTACGGATTTCATTTAATTAACGGTCCCCGCGTTGTGTACGCGCTTCATACCAAATATAATACATTTGTTTTATTAGAGAAATAGTTGCTTCATATAAAATTATATCTTTTAGTATATTTATATAAACTTAACTGTTTTTGCTTTTGGAAAACCAAATCACTGAGGAAAATTATCTAACAGCAATGACAAGGTAAAATTTAAAATGACAATCCTACTTTTTTCTTCCACAGTAGTATGGAGTATGGTACAAATTATAAAGGGTAGAACTGAGAGGTTGTGTATATGTGTGTGTTGGTGTACATGAATCTCAAAATAGTTTGACCAGCCAGTATGTTTTTTATAAATTAAAAGTTCAGTCACTCAGTATAGTTCTAAAATGTGTTAAAAAATCGTTGGGACCGAAGAAGGTTTTTAATGTACCTAGTACTACATGTATGTATGTTTTAATAACCATACAAATTTACATTTAGATTTTTTTTATGTTAGTTCATTTAGCGAATGTAGATGTTGATCAAACTTACAACATTTTATAGTAATCAACGGTCTAGTGAAGTTATCTGT